CCTGACCCCACTTACACTCTCACAGGGGAGAACGTGCAAGACGTCTCCCTTCCGGAAAGCAGAGACACACTACGTTAGAGCGCCACCGTGGTCAGAATGGCCCTTTGTTCTGCTTCTTAATGACTAATTATTATGCTATGGGAAGGCTTATGCAACCCAGCCGAGCTGGGTCCTCATCCAGAGCTGCTGCAAGTGTGTAATCTGCAGAAGGCTCCCTCCACTGCAGCCTGCAGTTGCGTAAGAGGTAATTACCGAGTCCAGCCGGGGCTTGCTTCCCATCACAGGCTCCAGGCTTCTACCCCCAGTCGCTTTACATGCTCGTTAATATTTAAACCGTGGAGGAGGAGTAGAATATTTTGTAAGCTTCAGCAGTGGTTGCAGAGTTCAGTGTGGGGCCAAGAAGGAGGAAGGCAGGGCTGGAGCAGGGCAGAGGGGACAGGCCCCTTCGCTTTCCTGGGAGGGTTTTGTCCTTCTGCAGATGCTGGCCCAGTGGGAGGTCTAAACTTGCCTCCTTTTCCATAGCAAAGTTGAAAAAAAAAAAAGCCCTCTTAAAGTCCCTCAATTTTTAAAAACCAGTTCTTTAAGAAACCATCCTCTGCAATAACCTATTATCTTTTAAAATAGACCTTAAATATGACTTTAATTTTTAAAAGTAAGTGGAAAAAATTTAATGTAGCTTCTGGTCAGCTGCCAGAATCTTAAGGGGAAGAAACAAAGCTATTTTCTCTGATAGACCCTCACATGCTCTAGTGACAGAGGCTGGCGCTCGCACCTGCCCCGGACGCCGTGGAGCTGTCCCTTGGCAGCCTGATGGGCTTCGGGGCCCCAGAAAGAAAGCCTCTTGACCTCCACATGTCTGTCTCCTCTCTGCAAAATCAGGGCGTGCTCTCTGTCCGGATGTGTACTTTTGTGGCGCCTATCACTGTGGGATCTAGGCACAGAGACAAAAACACCAGGCAAAATCCGAATTTGTGTATTATGGGAGGAAAGGCCGTCTGGCTTCCTGCAGTCACCCTTGGCTTACATTGCAGTCAGGATTTTATCTCAAGGTGGTTTGCAAAGACCAAGGAGAAGTGTGGCCGATCCAGCAGTGTGGCACCTCCTTGTTTTCGTTTATAAAAGCACTCACAAGGTAGTGTTTGTAAACCTTGTAAAATTGCTAAAGTGTTAAAATGTGCTGGTATCTGTCCCCATGGAAACAGCCGAAGGACCCTTCTACTCAAAAGAAGAAAGTCTGTCTTCTCTCCCTTCCTTGCCCCTCCCCCCTTCCTTTTTCCATTTTGTTTTCTTTTCCTTTTAGTAAACTATGCTTGTTATATTGTAAAGTAATGCACATTAATGGTAAAAAACGTTTCTTCCAAACGGAATAAAAGTGTAGAAGGTGAAAGGTAAAATACTTTCTCCACACCCTCCATCTCTCTAGTCCTATCGGTTACCCAGAGGTAACTCTGCAATTTCCGCATTTCTTAAGATCTTTCTGAACCTTTCCTCTGCACGCACAAGCATTCATCCGTACGGATATATACTGAAAGATCTTCCACGTGTGTGGGGCTGCAATCGATGCATTCTTCTGCAGCTTGCTTCCCTCTCATAACAGACATCTTTCCGTAAGCACAGAGACCCACCCATTCACTTCATAACTGCTGAGGAGTCCAATGGGCGGTTGTAGGCTAATGAATTTAATCAGTTCCTTAAATTACTATTAAAAGTTTTTTCCAGTCCAGGGGCATTACAAACAATGCTGCAGCACACATCCTAGTACATGTGCTCTTTTTGCACAGTTGAGAGAGCATACCCTTAGGATAAATTCCCAGCAGTGGAATTGCTGGGTCAAAAGGTATGTGCTTTTTACACTGTAATAGATATTGCCAAATTGCCCTCCAAAGAGGTTGTACCAATTTACAACCCCATTAACACTGTATGACCAGCCTATTTCCCCCAAGCCTCACCAACTCCGTGTTCTATCAAACTTTTAAATGTTTGCCAATGGGCAACAAATGGCAAGTCATTATTGTCTTAATTCACATTTTAATTGTGAGAGATTGAATATTTTTCACATGTTTATGGACTATTTGCATTTCTATTTTTGGAAACTGTCTCATCTTGACCACTGTCCATTTCTTTTGGGTTTTAGTAATTAAAAAAATTGATTTATAAAAGTCTTTATTTATCATTGGCCTTTATTTGTCAGATATATCACAAATACACTCTTTGTTGATCTATTTTTAAGCAAACAGAAGTTCACAATATTTATGGAGTCAAAGTTACCTGCCTTCTCTTGGACAGCATTTAGGGTTTGCACCGTGCTAAGAGGGGCCCTGCCCGTGAAGACTTCAGACTCTCCCATGCCTGCTGCTAGCACTCTTACGGGCTTGCTTTGTACATGTAAATCTTTGCAATTCTGGACAATTATTTCGGTGGATGGGGTGAGGTAGGGATTCAGTTTGAGGAGATTCTATTGGCTCTATGTGGTTTTGCAAATTAGCCTTTTAGCTATACTGACACGCTGTTAAGTGGCAGCTTTCTGCTCCCTTGGATTCAGACAGGCTTTTTGTAAGATCCAGGCAGCAACCTGCCTCATTCTCTTTTTTTCTTGGATCGAAGACACGGCCCTTTTCCAGTGAGGAGAATACTTGGCTCTACTTCGAAAGAGTGAAGGGGAGAACAGAAAATTGAGGGATTCTGGTGGGAACAGAGAAACACAAATTTAAGATGAGATTAATCACTTAGGTGCATAAACCGTGGAGCTCACAGAGCCTATTTCTGCTTGAACAGTGTGAACGATGACAACAGAGAATCACCGGGCTGAAAAAACAATTGAGTGGATGAATTCTGTTTATCTTTTGTTCACTAGCTCTGCTCAAGTAGGAAAGAAGGAATACACAACTTTTTTGTTATTCTCACATTAATAAACTTTTGCAGTGAATTTTCTTGATTTACCAGATGACAATTCTTATGGGAAGGTCAAGTGATCTTATCCACTGTATTTACTCGATTTTTGGTGTTCTCTCCTAGTTCCTAAATGTGTGGGGGTATTTTTCCTTTAAAGACAAAATAAGTTAATTGCACAATTAGTAACACTGGAAGTTTATATTTCTTGGCATGAGTGATATGATATGTATGTTGGCAAAGACCTATACGACTTCGATTTGCAACATAAATAATATAATCCTGTAGATCAAATTCCAGGTAATTTATTTAAAAGGTACTGAAGAACTCTTTTCCCCCCAAGTGTCTACCTCATATTGTGTAAATTGTGTAATTTGTATAATAATTATAAGTTGATTGATGAGAATCTGATTTCATCATAAAGGCTGAGGTGGACTATTAACACTGATTACCATTTGTGCCATACCTCGTACCTGTACTGTACTTAACAAACCCGTGTGTGTGTGTGTGTGTGTGTGTGTGTGTGTGTGTGTTCTAATTTAACCCTCATGCCCCCGGCGAGGACTGCAAGAGCAGTTCCATTATACCACTCTACAGATGAAGAGACAGAGGCTCAGGGTGACTCAGTATGTAGTGGGAAGGCACACAACTATTGAGCGCAGAGTTGAGACCTGACCCAGGACTATCTGACCCCCAACTCCACTCTTCCAATGATTTCATACTGTCCCATCCCAAAGACAGGTGTAGGCACAACGAGAGGCAGAACAATTTCCAGTGGAAGTTTAATTCCACCTCAGTTTAAGGAATCAAAATCAGTCATACTCTCTCTTCCTGCCACCCCTTCATCAGTTCCGCCATCTACTAGCTGCAGGGAGCCTCTCTCAGCCTGGCCGCCTTTAGCTTCAGGCTGAAGTGAGGGCTTGTACAAGGATGGGGGATGGGGTGGAAGGGTTCTTGCAGCGGCTCAGACCTCCACCCATGAGCCAGGTGTCTGTGATGAGCCCCTGTTGGGGGCCCTAGTGTCTCCAGTGTGACTGCCCCCTAGTCTCGCCCTCACTCCTGCTTTTCAAGCATCTGTAGCCTCTCCTCTCTCCTGACTCCTTCCCAGTAACACTTAAGAATGTTCATGTGTTTTTTCCTAAAAAGGAAGAGTAAACTTCTCTAGACTCCTTCTTTTTCCTGCTTTTCCCTAATCCGTTTCCTCCCTTCACAGCCACTGTTCCTGAGAGGATTTTTCACAACACTGCTCCCGCCCAAACCCATCCCCACCTGGCTCCCAGCTCCAGATGCTCCCCAAGGTTACTGTTGTTCCTGCTGGATAGTCAGACCTCACTCTCCTTGCCTTCCCTGCTGTATTTGGCCTTATTGGACGCCTCTTCTCTTAGTAAAACACGATTTTTCCTTGTTTTCCCAGTTCTGCACTCTCCCAGTTTCCTCCTTCCCAGTGTCCTTTGCTCATGTCTTGACTCTCAGTATTACATCCTTGGCTTCTGTCTTCTCCCTTGGCTCAGGGGCACTTGACTGTTAGCTTCAGCAACTGTGTTATTGAAGTTGCCATATATATATAAAAATTTTGATATAGACTTAATATGGTATTTTTGTGTATCTTTCAACTGATTCTCAAAGAAGTCTGTAACACCCCAAATTAAGAATCTCTGCTCAGCTCACCCACCTGGATGATGTCATCTATCTCCATGCTTGTAAAAACTATCTATATGTTGGTGTTTCCCCACCTGCTTCTCCAGCCCAGGTCTTTCCTAAACTTCAAACATGCTTATTTAACAGCTTGTGACGGCTTAACTTAGATGTCCTATAGGCACCTCAAGCTCAGTATGTTCAAAGTCTAAGTCCAAACTGCACTTGGGGCCATGGCAAGCTCGCACGGTATGTTTGGGCAAATGAGAAAAATATACTTTCCTCAAAACACTTTTGGGTAAAAATTGTAATTGATATACAAAATTCTTATGCCTGTGATATGAATGGCACCCCTTTATTTGTGTACTGTATTAAGGACTGAACAACCCACCCCCCACCCCCACGCATAACAGGGTCGGCTCTTGATGCCCTTGCTGCAAGGATGGCCTCCACCTGCCCAGTGTCCCTCTCCTGCCTCTCCACATCCAGTCAGTCTCCAGGTCCCAGTGACCCACCTCAACGCTGGTTGGAACCTGCTCATTCTCCATCTCCACTGTGGGCGCATTGATCGCGTTGCCTTGTCTCACCTAGATAGCTGCAGTAGCCTCTAGCTTTCCTCTGGTGGTGTTCCCCCATTCTGTTCTTCACAGAGCAACCAGGGTGATCTTTATAGGGGACATCAGTCTTTTGCTTTTTAGACTCCAGTTTCTCCCCATTATCCTCAGAATGACCACCAAGGGCCTTCATGATCTGGCTTTATTAACCTCTCTTCCTGGTCTCCTTTTCCACACACCACAGGTTCTGCAGTTCACAGATGAAGACGATTTCCTCTCCCCTGAGTGTGCTGTGCTCTCTCTTGGCTCCAGGCTGTTGAACATGTTGTTCCCTCCACCTGGAAAGCTTCCGTTTCACTCCCTGGCCCTTTACCTGAGCCTTATTCATGGTTTAAGTTTCAGTGGAAATAGCACAGCTCTCAGGAAGCCTTCTCCAAGTCCCTGGGGCCCAGGAATGATGCTCCTCATCTACGGCCACTTGGTCCCAAGACTTGCCTCTGGTCCAGCGCTCCCATGGGCATGGTCCTCGCCTACGCACAAGGAGACCTGGAGGGCAGGGGCTATGTTTTGCTTTTGTTTTGTCGTCAGTACTGGGTGCCTGGCACATAGAAAGGTGCTTACAAAGGTTTGGAATTGATCAAAATCGGTCGGAGAACTTCATTTTACCCTTGGATTTCCTATGCATATAATTCAACGGGAACCTCCCTATTTTATTGAAAGCATATGACAGACCAAAACGCCACAGATATGAAAGAAAGGTAAGTAATCCATTATTAAAAATAGCTTTTACCTGAGCCTGCTGCTGTGCAAATCCTAAAACAAGGTAGGTTTGTTCTCCTGAGACCGTGGGTTAAAAGGACTGCATCATTGATTGTGGCTTAAAAAGGTTCTCTCATCAAGCAGAGTATGTGTGTCTCTCTCTCCCAGAATTAATTCTCGATATGACTCCAGCTGATGGAAATGCAGCATCTTCAGGAGCCAGACCGCTTCGTTATACTCTTAGGGTTCTTGCTTAGCAACTGCTCATTCCCATTCCTAGATAATAACAGCTAACTCTAAGTCCTGCTTACTATGTGCCAGGCACTGTTCTAAGCACTGCGCATATAATAACGCACTAAACCTTTACAAGAACTTTGTGAGGTAATTACTATTATTAACATTATTATGCCCATTTTATGAGTAAGGAAACAAGCACAGAGAGGTTAAGTAACCTGCCTAACGTTACAACAGATAAAACATGGTAGAGCTGGGATTCAAACCGGGGCAGTCTGGCTTCAGAGTCTGTGCTCTTAATTACTATGCTACATTGCTTCTTAACCCTGAAATCAACACTTGAACTTTAAAAATCAGCTCTAGATGCAACAGCTGATACTGGGTTGAGGATCGCATTGTAGGGGTCACTGTGAACAAGAGACCCTTCCCCCAGGTGACAGCAAATGATGAGGCTAAGGCCAGTGGCTCAACACCTGAGCCCCAAGCCTTGGGGATCCCCTGCCAAGCGCAGTGGTGTGCTAGAGCAGGCTTCTACTGCTTAGGACACAACCACCAATTGTTAACCAGTCAGGAACGCTGCATCCAGTGTTAGACTGTCGATGGCTTGAAATCAGCCACACTAGGAGTATTTACACCACAGAAATTGGCAAACACTACAAATCAGAGACCATATCCCCAAACACTGTCCCTGCTGGAGGATGCTGATGGAGGATTTCAATCATCTTGACTGAAAGAGCCTAGTGTGAGGCTGGAGAATGTTTTTTACTTTCCCAGGGCCTGGCTGAGCTGGCCTGGATTAGATCTATAAGATGTTTTCAATTGCTGGTATCTGCGTGAAGGCTTTCTTTGAAGGCATGGAAAGCCACTCTGCCTAATGAAAGGTGGCCCAGAATGTCAAGGAATCAACATCCCCCGGCTCCCACCAACCCCAGAACCTCTCCACCCAGGGCAGGGAACACGGGTGTTCCTCTGGCCATTAGTGCGGGTCTTCTCAAGGTAGGCCTTTTCTGTGGTCCCCGGAGCTTCCACACAGCCTTCAGCTACAGTCACTCAGAGCAGTAGTTGATGTGGTAACTCAGCCTTTATGTGCTGTCCTCAGTTCACAGGCTCAACTTCCTGTCTTCCTCCTGGTATTTCTTGCACCTCCCAACTAAACTTGTAGTCCAGTTCTTTTCGGAGAGTGCTTTCGGGAACGCCCCAACTAAGAGGGGCTGAATGGGCAGTCCCCAGTGCTTGGTGTGCAAAGGTGGGGAGTCCTGGCCAAAGCGCTGGGCTGCCTCAGCCCTCTCCCAGTGCTAGTCCTGCTCCCTGGCCCTTGCTCTGTATTTTAGAGACTCTTCCATGGCTTTGCTGGCCCTGCTGCCCAGTTTTGTGGTCTGGGCCCTGCTGCCCTCCATGCTCCTGGAGGTGATGGTGCACTGCTGACTGCCCAGCCTGCGGCTCAGGGGCATGCCCATTTCTCCAGGGAAGACCCTGTAGCATCTAAAAGAGTTTCCCTGCATGCAAGGAGGGACATAAGCTCATTATCATCATTCTGACACTAGCTGCCAGGCGTTTCTCTCTAAGCCCAGAGTTGAGATCGTCTGAGTCTCCTTCCAGGAGCGCAACATGAACTTGGCAGAAGGAATCCACAGGTTTGTGTGGGTGTGACAGAACAGACATCACTAGCAGAACGTTTTGGGAAGCAGTCTGTCTAAACTGGACTTTTCCCGGGCCCGGCAGGGAGCAGAGAGCATGAGCCGATACGTTTGATTGTGGCGATCCCCTCTATCCTTTAGATTGCTTCCAACTCAGAGCTAAGGCCTGCGCTTGGCTGGAGGAGTGCTCAGCGCTAACAGCACGTTTTCATTCTCCAGAACAGCCAAGAGGGGAAGTGCGGGAGGAATTGAGGAGTCAGGGCTTCCGAGCCACTCTGACCCAAGAGCCCAGCTGGAGGGACAGGCAGGGGCGTGGCTCCCTCCCAAGCCACTGGAGCTCTACCCGCCCTGTCCTGTATCACTCCCATTTCTCCAGAGCCTGACTTCTAAATGTACATTGTGTATTTTGTTAAGTCCTGTGTTTGTTTTCTGACTTTGGTAAAAAGCTGTAGGTGGGAGCAAAATGATCTGTTGAAGAAATTTAAAAGCAAATTTATTCAAGCGCACAATATGGAGTTATTTCACATCCTGGGACAAAGGAAAAGTGAGCACCAAGAGGGAAACTGACTGTGGCCTGTGGGCAGCAGAAGTTAACACCATATTCACTGTAAGAATTGAACTCACTGCAGTTACCAGGAGTGTTTCATTCCTACCTAACACCTCTGCTAGTGAAATATAGCAGACACAAGTTTAAGCCTGGCACGGGGAGCTTTTCTGAAGACCGTCATGTGTGCTGTGTTTGTCTATGGACAGATGTGTGTTCTCCCTAGACCGTGAGTACCCCACGGCCTCAGGGCCGTCCACTTGGCCCTGAAGGTGCAATTAGCGAGAGCTCAAGGAAGTTGCTTGTGAGGGAAGAGTGACTGCCTGTCTCCTGCTCCCCTTTTCCTCCTTTTACCTCTTAGTAGAGCCCATGCCCCATTTTTATTGTATAACTTAACGGAATGAATCCAATGGTGCTGTTCAGACAGCAGAGCGAGCAGGGGAGGGTGTGGGGCCATCAGAGACTGGGGAGAGGATCTTACCCGGCGGAGTGTCCTAGTTCCCTTCAGGAATCATGCTGTGCAAGCAACCAGCCATTGGCCTCAGACGTGGGCTGGACCGTGAGTCTGTTGAGTCAACTGTGACTAAAAGATATGCTAGTTCTAATTTCCTGTGACTCATTAAGAAAGCCTTATTGGGCAAGCATTGTTTCTGAAGCCAAATCTGTTAGCTCAAGCAGTTTACTCTGCTCATGGGCACGGCTCAAAGAGGTGACTTGGGCCACCAAACATCTCTTTTCAGTCGCAAGTCATTCTGGGGCTACATATTAGAAAATCTGCTCGATTTATCTTTACTGCATCCAAACTGGCTGACATCCTTTACTGACTTCGGACCCTCGAGTGAGTTCCACAAGCATTTGGGAAGGAAGCAGCAGCTGGAGCTGCCCCAGACTGAGGGCGTTGGTCTCCGCTCTCACCTGGCTTGAATCTGGGCAGAGGCACTGCATGGGCTTGAGGTTTTGCTTCAGCTCAAATCCAGAAGGAGCCACCTCACTTTGTACTTAGCAATGATGAAGTCCTTTACTGCGTTCATAAATGTCCCCAGAGGCTATTACTCAAAAGAGTTCAGCTAATAAATATGAAAACCAATAATTATCTTGTTTCAGATTGCTGACTTGTGTAACTGCTCGAAGGGGTCAGAAGTGTGCAGCTTGCTCAACATTGCCCCAGCATCCTGACACTTGTGATTATGGAACTGGGGTGCAGATAGGGGTCAGGGAGCAGAGCGAATGAATTGTGTTTGTGCAATCTCTCTTGTTTTGGGGCCGGTGTTGGTGGGCGAGTGTGTTTGATAGGTTTGGGTTGTGTCACGCGGTCCTGGTAGTTTCATCTTTGGCTCCTCTCTTGGGCGCCCTTTCCTTGCAGGGGTGCTGGGCGTCGACCCAGGTCACAGAGTTGGCGACATCCCTGACGAGCTGCTTTGTGATCTAATCCGGCCTTCAGGAAGCAGGTGGGACTGCAGAAATGCTGTTTTCTCTTCCACTTGGGCTGTCAGCTCCTTAGCCCCTCGGTGCTTTCTCAGCCAGCCGGCCAGATGAAGAAAACAATGTGTCTGAATGTGGGAAGAACACCTGGGGGGGAAGTCCTGGCATCGTGTCCCCTTTCGGTGGTGCTCCTTGAGACAGTTCCCCTGGTGGGGTGGAGTGGGCTCCAGTGCCATGGGCTGCCTCACCCGGGGTGGGAAGGGGCAGTGAGTGCTGTGTGTGATTTAAGAGGTGCTAGGAAGGTCACCTTTCCTCCAGAAATACTCCCCTAACTTGTTCCAGCTACCCAAAAGTCCATAAATAAAGCTTTATTTCCCTTAAACTGTTATTGGGAAATATCCCTGGGCTGGAACATACAGTAAGTCTTAGCACTTATTCTCTATGAGTTTGTTAAGTTAGGGCTATTGAAGTATAATCTACATTCAGCAACACACATTTTTAAGGGGTACAAGACTGAGTTTGGACCAACGTATACAGTCATGAAACCACCTTGTCAATCAAGAGGTAGATGGTTTTCATTACCCCTCGAGTCCCCCATCCCAGCCTCTGACAACCTGATCTGATTTCTGTCCCTTTTGCCTTTTTCAGGGTAATATACATGGAATCAGACAGATGTAATCTTCTGGGACTGCCTCCCTTCACTCACCCCGATGTTTTGGAGGGTCCCTGTGTAGCTGAGCTTGGTGACTTGTGCTTCGGTCTCACTGAGTGACCATCCCTCTGCTGCTTGTTTGTCCCTCAGAGAAGGAGAGCTGCACTGACTGCCTGACCCCCCCATTCAGACTTCACCCAGCTTCCCCGTCTCCCATATCCTCCTACTGGGCCCTGTGTATGTCATAGAGTAAGGTCTCTAAGAGGATACTTGCTCACAAGGGAAAGGGGTGCAAGCATGAACGCCTTCTTGGCTGCCCTGCACCAGGCCTGGGCCAACCTCGCAGGCTGGTGAGGAGGTTACCAACACAGGGACGTGACTCATGTCGGCAAAGTAGGATTTGATTGGAAGGATTTTCCCGGAAAGGAGAAGAGCTGGGGCAGCTCCAGGGGTCCCACAGGAGGAGCGAATGGACTTCTTCATTGGGCACCAGGGACAAATCAACTCAGCTGGTGTTTGGCCCTGAGTCCCACTGCTCCAGAGTGGGAGTCTTGGGGAAGAGAAGGCCTGGCCTGCCTCAGGTGGGAGAGGGTAACCCGCAGAGTGGTACCCTGCAGAGAGAGGCGGCTCCACCAGAGCGGTTAGGTGCTGGGACCAGGGGAAGGGGCAGACGCTGGGGTGGCAGGTCAAAGTTTGACTCCTCCAGAAAAATACCAGCTCCCCCAAATGAGGGTGGGTCTATCTGCAGGGGTCATGTAACCCTGATCATTCATGCTTTTCCTGGGCCTGAGAGTGGATCTGGAATACACTGTATTAAATAATAATATTTATTACTATTTGGGTTGGTATTTTCAGGGCTTTTCTCTAGTTTCTAGATTTGCCCTCCTTTAGTGTTCCCACATTTATTTTATTTTTGTATTTAATGTTAGTATTTTCATGTTATATTTGTACACACACATGCATGATTGTTTCCATGCCTTGAGTCCCTTGGTGCTAGTTGCATTTTTAGGTTATATCAACTCTGCTACCCTGAGAATCACGCTTGGCATCTTCAGACTTTGTTTTTAAACCAACAAATGAAGGACTGATCTGCTCCTCTCATCCCAGGGTCAGAGCACTGGCCTGGGAGCCATCACTGGAGCCAGGAAAGCAGCCCTCGATGCCTTGCTTAGGATGAAACTTCTAGAAAACAGCCCAATCTCCCTCAGCCTTGGTTTCCTGTCTGTGAAATAAGCATGCTGGTGTTCTACACCTAATTCCAAAAGCTGAGATTTTGTGCAAAATTTCAGTTGTTGAAAACACACTGGGGGAAAATGTGATTGGATGTACATGCTGCGATCCTTTAGAATAACAAGTTGTGTGTGTCACTGTACCCTGATGGTCTCCAATATGTTTTGTTGTGTCTCCGAGTATTGTAATTATGTTAATAATGCTATAATAAAACTTATCCATGAAATACACACTTGATTCCCCAGTTGATTGAGTCTAGGGGAAAGAAAGCGCATCCACTTGCGTGGCATCTGTGACATTCTGTGCAGGTTTTCACATGTGAGAGGTGTTCTAGCTCCAGGCCTGTGCTACTGAAGCTGAGACGGATGGCACTTCCCTAAGGTGGCCCAGCTGGGAGAGACAGAGCCAGAATTTAGACTCAGGTCTTCTTGGAGCTTTCATTCCAAGTTCTTTCTCGAAAGGACCACTTCTGTGATTTTGAGCATTACCAGACATTTAACTGCAGTCAGTGCAGCCAACCAAAGGTTGGGAAACTTTTCCACCTTTTCCCTTAATGGTTAGAAATTGGTGATCAGAAACAACAAATACACGTTAAAGATGTTGAATATTTATATCATTTTGGGCTCCAAACAGATGTGATAAAAAGCTCCGTTATGGCAAGTCTTTTAAGTTAAACTTTTCCTGAAGAGAAGGTCCAGGGGTGGTAAGGGAAACGTGGTATTATGTTAATGCTTCTGTTTGGCTGTAGTTCACCAGAAACTTCCAGTTATCTTCCAGTCTGTGTATAAGGTGGCAAAGGACAGGAACATTTGCTTCTAATCCCCCATCCAGCCTACCAGTGCCTAGCAGATGCAGGGCCGAGATGCCGCACAACAGGCAGCGCTCCATCCCCGTGGAATCTTTGCCAGTTTGAAAGAGGACTTTGAATCCGGGGAGAGTTTCATTTTTGTGCTTTTGATGTTGATCTCCTTAGAAGATACTTATTTGAAGAAGATACCAGTTGACAACATTAAGAATTAACAAATTATGTTGTTAACGCATAGCAAAAGTTTAATGGTTTCATTAGAGAACTGTCAAGTTTGTTACTGGAGAGGAATACTGTGGGGATGGAAGCAGGAAATATTTACTGAAGGACTGTTTGGGGTCTAAGTTCTGGAACCCAGGCAAAGCACAGCTACTATAAACTAAAGAATTAAAAAAGTAAAACAGAGAAGCAATATCTTTGTACGTTTGATGCCAACAAAGTCCCTTAGCACCTAAGAAAGTTGTCAGTGATGTGAGTGCGCTGAGTTGGCATTTTTTTAAAAGATAAAAATGGAAGGCGAATTTTTGTAAGAAGTTCTATCTTCTTTCTAACGTGGGAAGGAGGCTGTTTCTGTTGTTTGGGAAAGTGGGAGAGGTACCATCTGGGGCGCACCTACTTGTCAGTGCTTGTCACCAGACTGAGTCACACTCAGTCCTCTGCAGACCCTTCTTTTTCAGCACAGAATTCTGCTTACTGTCCTGGGCAGGGGTATGTGTTCAGCGCTCTGTGGAAGTGAGAGGAAGCAGCGCCCAATTCCACTGTGGCAGCATGAGCACTGCCTGATGCAGTCACCTGAAAGGGTCTCCCAGGTGAGGGCGGACACGGCCTCCTCTAGAAAAGGACAGTTATGGGGATGGGAGGGATTAGTTCTTAGGAAGGAAAGAAACCATTTACAAATCTGGGAAATCTACCCACCATTTAATAAAAGTGAATTGAGACAATGATCTGAATATTTCAACTAAGTTCAGGCCAAAGTATGTTTTGGTCTGAATTATCCAGATAATTGTGTTACAGTGGAGAGGAATTCTGAAGGGGGGGAGGGGGAGTGGCGGGCGGGGCTTGGATCTTGGTTTCCATCTGGGTAGGGCATGAAGGAGCATTTAAGCTACTCTCTGGGGCCCTGTTTTCTCATAAGGTTCGGGTCTATCCAAGAAAGTCTGGGGATTTAACTCTCTATTTTGTGCGCGAACATGCATTTCCTGAGGCAGAAAAATGTCAAGTTTGGGAAATTGTGTCACAGTGGAAGCAGAATGGGCATAGGTGATTCTCCTTAGTCACGCTTCCAGCTCCACAAGGTCAACCCTGGGCACCCCAGAGGAATCCATCTTCATCTGCTACGGGAGAGACTTTCTCTGATTTCTTTTTTCTTTGAGAATTCATCTGGGATCAAGGATCTGACTCCCAGTTCTACTCACTGTCCTGGCCCTTCACCACCTGCCGGCCCCATGCTTCCGGGATTCATGAGCCTCATGTTCTACATCAGAAGGGGGTTCACACTGATCAGAATGTCGTGGGTCATTCCCCAGAGAAGTTTTCAGCCTTCCGAGGCGGCGGACTTGATCCCTGGCCGGGGAGGGCCTGGCCGGGCAGCCTGGAGCAGGTTCCGGGCGCTGGAAGCGGAGGCCTAGCTGGAGCAGTTCCCCACGGGTTTGTCCTCAGTGGCCTGAAGGGTTGGTTCTTCCAGGGGCTTGAGGGGAAAGAGGGCTGTAAGCCCCTACTTGCGGCCAGAAGTGGGGGTCTTTGAAAACTGGCCCACGGAGCCCTCGGCCCACGACGTCCCTAGCTCCAGGCAAACCTGACAGGTATCCAAAGGCGTTTTCGAAACTAAACGGCCCCCGCTTCCCCTCCCCCGCAGTCCGCGCCCCCTGCTGAGGCCTAGGGTCAGCTCAGCTCAACAGCCTAGTGTTTGCACAGGTGGGCGGCGGCCCGCTGGCCAGTGGGGGACGGGGCTGGAGATCCGCGCGAGAAGTGCGGTGGGTTAGGGGACGTGGGGCGGGGCTAGGGGGCCGCGAGAGGGGTGTGGTGGTTTGGGGGGAGGTGCTGGGAGGTCCCGCGAGAAGGGTGCGGTGGGTTATGGGAGGGGGCGGGGCTGGGGAACCCTGCGAGAAGCTGCGGGGGGTTAGGGGAGGGGCAGGGGAGGGGAAGGAGGAGGGAGAGGGGGAGGGGGCGGGGGCTGGGGGTCCGCGCGAGACAGGTGCGGTGGGTTAGGCGGGGAGTGTGGGCTAGGGGCGGGCAGGCCGGCCGTGGCCGCCCCTGGCCGAGGTGCGGGGGGCCCGGGCGCCTCTGGGGAATCCAGTTTTCTGGGCGGATGCCAGAAGGGAAGGTCTCAGCGGGGTCCTCCGCCGACGCTGCGGGCGGAGGTCGGGTCCTGCAGGCACCACCGAGCCTCTCCGCGGAAGGCCCGAGTTCCCGCGGAACTGGAGCGTCGCCTGCACTCAGAGCCCACGTGGCCCCTCCCGCTCTCCCAGGAGAACGGGAGCCTGTGCGGTTCCCTGCCCTCTGGCCTCCTCCCGCCGCGCAGAGAGAGGCCGAGACTCCGGGGCTGGGGGTGTGGAGAGGCCGCGGCGGCGGCGGAGCCTGGACCCTCCCTCGTCTCCACGACCCGGGCCGCGAGTGTGATTGTCGTTTGCTTGGTGGGAGAAGGAACTTGGAAGTCGAAGAGGGGCGCAAAGTTCATGCGACTCTGAGAATGCTGTAGCAAACCTTACGGTACCTGGGGAGACGGCGAGGGGACCAGAAGCCAGGGAGAGGACTTCTGTCAACCCAGTCCCAGGCAACCCGACTCCAGAGTGTTCACTAGGAAAGAAAGATTTTTTTTGAGAGGAGGGGGGGAACAGCTGTGGTTTTAAAAGTGTCACCTTTCCCTTTTCCCCTGCTGTTTCTGTCTTCTTTAACATAAATAAATCAGCCGCGATTTAAAAGCCCCATTTGCAGAACAGTCGTCATGTGTCAAGGTAGGAATGAAAATAATGGCTCTCCCAAACTGATTTAGAAGTAGGTGACACGTGGCCCTCGAAGGCAAGGCACGGAGTCGGAGAGAAATGGTCTACTGGAATCAGAGATGGGAAGCGCCCTATGCTGCTGACTCCTTGCTCTCCTTCAACCTTAGAGTGTGCTTTCAAGACAAAAGCAAAGAACTGAGCCTCTGGGTCCCAGTCATTTGAACCCAGTGAGCCCCTTGTGTCCCCCTCCCAAGTCTGTCCAAGTGTTCTGGTCTAATTATTGGCTTTGTGGGCACAAATTTCCACTTAAATGTCGACCTTTTATCATAATTCAACCCTATTATCATCAGTCTTTATGACTACTAAGTAGATATAACCAAACTCAGTCAAGATTGTTACTTGTTAACTAGACTTGGGGCTTGGCTTTTTCTCCCATACACCCAAAGACAGCATCTTGAAATAAACTCCACTTTGTTTTTTCACCTTGTGGTGTGTAGATCCCAGATCACCCTCTTGTCTTGGATGAGATGCCCAAGAATGACAGGAGCAACAGTAGGGCCTGAATTTCCAGTTTTTGAATTTCTCACTTTGTGATACTCTTTGGAATACTGCAATGCATAATTTGTCCGAACCCCGCTGACTCTGAGTTCACTGAGGAATAGGTGTTCACACTGACTTCTGGCACTTCCTCTCATCAAAACCTTCCATTTTTAATATGGGAAACTGTCTCTGCCCCCTGGGAGGTGGGGTTTTCTCTTTAGATCACACGTGAAATAGGCTGGCAGCCCCACCTCCACACACGCTCCCCTCCCTCCAAAGAGGAGAGCGAGAAAGACTAGGATTGGTTCCTACCCAAATGAACGTTTGGATTCCTGAAAAGGTGGATGTTTGCTTTGACAAAAACACTGACTTTCAAGTTGTTCTTAAAACTGCCCTGAAGAAATCTTTGGTGTGTTAAGACAGTCTCACGCCAGATTGCTTCCCCCTCTTGGAGCCCCGGATCAGAACCAATTTACTTGAAAATGTCAGCTTGACTATAAGCTTGTTAATAACTCAGCTTGTCTGCTAAAGGATTCTTGGGGGAGAGGGGCACGCACCCTGCCGTTTGTTCTGGTAACAAGCCAATTCTTACAGAGGTCGTCGGTTTGAAGTTTAGGCAAGTCCATCTATAGAAGTCCCATCCTGGAGATCTGTACAGCACGTGGCCAGGCGCGGAAACCCGCAGTCCACCTCCGCCTCTATGGGCTTGTTCAGGAAACTATTTTCACCCCCACAGGAAGTTTCTTGAGAGCAAAACCTGAACCCGTTTTTTGGGGGAGAGGGAGGTTGTAAAAACTCTCCATCTCCAACCCATCACCACGAAGTACTAAAGTCAGTTGTGAGTTTTATTAAAAAATAAGCGCTATGCCTGGGTTTCATAAAACTTATACATGAATATGTACACAGACACAAATAAAATAATATTAAAAATAAACATTACACTTGCTTTCATGTGGCAGTGTCCTGGCACCCCACATACATAATGTTAACTTTTCCTTTAAAGAAATGGCTTGGCACAGGGAGACCACCGTTAGAGATCACTGAACCACGAATAAAGGTGTAGCCCGTTGCCTGCAACATTTTCAACCCAGGTTTCAAAAATATATAAATAATTTAATTACAAAACCCAACAATATATGTTTTTTAATTTTTTGGCACAGTGAAGCAATGGTCAATAGCAGAGAAATGACTGAGGGTTCTCTGACACCTCTTACCCTCAGCCATCCCTGTAAATGCCACAGACACACAGGGAGCGGGTCCCAATGAACCCCAAACAGTAGTCATATCGTTTATTATAAAGAATGGTTCCCCGATGTGCTTTTTTCCTTTTTTTTTTTTAAGGGACAAATAGGAAGGTGCGACAAAAACTGCAGGAATAAGGGAGAGCTTGGGCAGAAAGAAGAGAGGACAAGTCTTTGTGAGGGGAGGAAGGGACAGGCTTGGTCAGGAAACTAAGACTGATGAAGAACTTTGGTCCTCTGTAAAGTTATAAAGACGAAGGAAAATGTTCTGAACTAAGTTAAAACACCTCTGTGAAAAAGGCTTTCGCTTTAAGGCACGTTTGATGGAGATTTTTCCTTTAAAGTCTCTTTTCCTCTGGATAGAAAGTGCAAAGCCCCGCGCCTGCCCTGCCGCGTCCCCGAAGGCGCCCTGCGCGCCGGCTCAGCGGGGCGCTCAGGCCAGGAGCGTCTCCACCGGGTAGCTCACGGGCCGGCCCGGGCCGCAGGTGGCGGCCGCCTGCAGGGCCGCCGGCAGCCGCAGGGGGCAGTACAGGGGCGCGCCGCCGCCGGCCGCCGGGCCCCGGACGGGCTTGGCTGGGGCCGAGGCGGAGAGGGGTGCGAACAGGACGCGCGGCGCGGGCGGGGGCACGGGCGCCGCGGGCGCTGCCTCCGCTCGACGGGCGCCCAGCAGCGCGGGCTCGGCCGCGCCGTACGCGCAGAGGGGCAGCAGGGCGCCGCCGGGCGCGCCGCGGAGAAGCGCGGGGTACGCGGGCGGCGGCGGGCAGGGCGCGGCGCCCCAGGGCATCCGCGCCCCAGCAGCCGCGTCCCCGTCGCGGCGGCTGCGGAAGGGCTTGCTGAGGATGCTGTCGATGGCGAAGGGGCTGGAGAATTTGCCCGCCGGGCTGGCGCGGCCCTCCGGGCGGGCGGGCGAGCGCGCGCCGGGCGAGGACGGGGCGGCGGCGCGGGCGGCGGCGGCGGCGGCGCGGCGGCCGGGCGGACCACGACCTCCTCGGGCCGAAGCCCCGGGGCGGGGCCCGCTGCCCGGTGACTGAGGCGCTTGCGGCGGCGGCGGAAGACCCCGTCGGCGAACGTGTACTCGCTGTTGGGGTTGAGCATCCAGTAGTTGTCCTTGCCCCAGGGCCGCGAGGGGTCGCGCAGCACCTTCACGAAGCAGTCGTTGAGCGAGAGGTTGTGGCGCACCGAGTTGCGCCAGCCCGTGTAGCTGCCGCGGAAGAAGGGGAACTTGCCCATGAGGTACTCGTTGATCTCGGCCAGCGTCAGGCGCCCGCCCGCCGAGTCGCGGATGGCCATGGCGATGAGCGCGATGTACGAGTACGGGGGCTTGGGCCGCCGCGTGTACGGCTTGCTGCGCGCGCCCTCGCCGCCCCCCGCGCTCCCCGCGCCGGGCCCCGCCGCCCCCGCCTCCGCGTCCGCGTCCCCCGCCGCCGCCGCCCGGCCCTGCTCTTCGGCGTCTGGCCCGCCGCCCGAGCGCCGCTCGCCGCCGCCCGCCAGCTCCCTGGCGGTGCCGCCCGCCGCCGGGCTGTTGGCCGCACAGTCCCCGTCTGAGCCCAGGGAGTCGTCTCCGGCCGCCGACAGCGGAGACGGCGCGTCGCTGCCGCCCGCGCCCTCCAGGTCACTACCCGGCTTGTCCCCGTGGGCCGCGCGGGGGCCGCACACCTCCAACTTCATGCCCGCGCACCCTGTCCTCGCCCGGCGCCGTACCCTTTTCCTTCGCGCGGTCTTGGGAAGCTGGTGCCGGTGGCAGGGCTCCTCGTCTTTCTCTCCGGGAGCTCTCGCTCCTTTTGCGAGGACAGTCTCTTTTCCTTAGAAGAGTCCTCTTCCGCTGGAATTTTTCTTTGGAAGAGTTGTGCTTATTGGCCGAACTAGGAGGGGCGGAGAGGGAGGAGTTGGGTGGGTACTCTCTTCAGTTAGAGGTTTAGAGACTGCGGGGTGAATGCGAGCGGAGGTGCGGGTCCACTCTCGAGTTCCCCAGCGCACGGGGCGTGGGATTTCCCGCTGGAGGGAATAAGCGCGTGCATCTGCTCTCCGTTCCAGAGACCAGGAAGGCTTCTTCACTGGAGGCTCCAGGCCCCCGGCGGGCGTCCTCGGGGCACGGAGATCGTGCAGGCTGGTGTGCGTGCCACCCTTGGGGGAGGGTCCGGCGCCTTCAGCCTTGAGCGCCCTCGGAGCCGAGTCTCCGAGGCCGTGGCGTCAGCAGCCGCCTGCCAGCCCCCGGCCTCCGGAGCAGCATCTCCGCGCTGGCGGGCCGCAGCTACGTCTCGCTTCCACCTTCGACCGGCTCAATATAACCCTGCAGCAGCTCCGCGGGGCGGGGCCTGGGCGCCGACGGCAGAGGGGTGGGGGAACGAGGTGGCTCCCCGGCGGGCGCGCACCAGGTTGGGGCCAGCGGCGGCGCGGCCGCAAAGTCGCTCGGCGCAGGTTGTTTGTTTTGGCTCTGCCGGGCCCCGCCCTCCGCCTCTTGCCAATGGGGAGCGTGCGCGCGGGTGGGGGTGTGCGCGTGTCTGAGTGTGCGTGTGTGCCCGCCCCGCCCATCTGCTCCTCAGCTCAGGTGCAGTCCTGTCCGCCCCGAGGGCTCCCTGCGCCCTGGAGCTCACGAAGGCGATTTTGGCGAGTGGGCATGGTGGGGGGACACCTGGAAGGGCCCGGCCCCCGGCAGCAGGGACTTCGCTCAGGCCTGCAGCCCTCCTAAGCTACGCCGGTGTGCGTGTGCTCCTCGGGTGGGGAAAAGGGTGCTACTTCGGAAAGCGACCCGTCTTGTCCCTGACGAGGCGCTGAAGAGCGGAGACTGCGCGGGACCCACTGTGCAGTGACCTCCTGCAGGAACCACGTGCTGTGCCCCTTCTCATGATTTCCTTTTGAGGACTCTTTGTCTTCTTTCCCTTTTCAATGAATAAAATGCTGGGCTTGAAATTGTATACGCCTTTTTGGATGACCTTGACTCCTGCCCACTGAATGGCCTCCGACTTTCACTTTTCTTTTGTCTCCCTGTACCTTTTTCTTTACCTGGCTGGTGGCTCCTGGGGAAGAGCAGCAGTGTCCCCGTCTTCTCCTGGGGCGGTTGTGTCTGGTGCGGGGTGCCCGGCTCCGCCTGCGCGAGCGCCCCTGCGGGCGCCTCCAGACGAGAACCCGGCGGAGCCGCGCTGTGCGCGGGCCACGACGACGGTCAACAGGAGCGGCGGGGAGGGCGTGTTCCCGGGCCGGGCGCGGGAGCACGATGTGCTTATGGCCGTTTCTTTCCACTCCTTCTCCTTGAGGACTTTTGCTGTGGTTTCAGTGGCACCGGTGTCTGACGGTCGGGACAGGGGGACCTTTCTCCTTCCCAGGACATTGGGGGCCTGGCGCATCCGCGGTGTCAACACTCCACGGAGGGGGCGCCCCGGCCCCCCGGAAGGGTGCGCTTCTAACCCGCTGCCCTGCCACTCTGAGGTTCCCTCCTTTTTCCTGCCTTTGTTGCAAATAGTGACGGAGCTGCGAGGAGGTGGGCGCTCACCTTTGATGTTTATTTTATTACTTTCCACCTTTTGTGTAGAAAACGTACACAATCCTCTCTTATCTTTATTCGAGCAGTTTTAAAGGCATTCAGCATGGGGCAGGCAAAATGGCAGACCGTCGCTGGCTCTGATTTTTCTGTGTTTGGGGAAATGATCACGTTTGGAGATTAGACTGACATTTATTGCCTGTGTGTGTTGGTGGCGACTGGCTTCTTTTCTCCAGCAGAGCGGCCATCTGCTTAGCTCTAGACCTGGGCGTTTATGGTCCCCTGGACCTGAAGAGGGAAGTGGGGTGTGACAAGAAAGCAGCCAGGTAAAGAGGCATCGACTTGGCCGAGGATAAAAGGCGTTCACAAGGAAGGTTATCCTCATTCTCACTCCAGAGGTGGGCAGCACAGAGGATGAAGGCCTGTTTTATGGGGGAGATAAGCCCTGGCGGGTTGGAGTGCTGGCCCAGCTTAGCTACATAGACTAAGGGAGGCCCTGGAGAGACTCCAGGGCCAAGGTGTCTTGCTCACACCCAGTGCCATCTTAGAGACCTCACAGGTGACCTGTCCCACTGGCCTGAAGCCGCACAGCTACTGCCATACCCTAGTTACCATGCAGCCCAAACATCTCTAGGTTTACAGCAACACTCACCTTAGTGGGCAGTCCCCTCCATGGGGTGGCCTCCTCCACCCTGGTCCTGCACACCTTCCTTCTACACTCCCCTCCTCCCCCAGACCCCCCAGCTGAGGTGCTCCAGGGTCATGGTGTTAGTCTGGGAGGTTCCAATGAGCTGCGCCCTGTGGGTGGGGATGTTGTTCAGAGAGGAGAGAAGAAAACTGTGCGCCACCCTGGGCCCTGCTGCCGCTCACACGTGACTGCATGACCTCGACGCTGCCCTTTCATTTTTCTTCCACTGTCAAAAGAGGCTGATCAGAATGGACTCCATGTTTTCTTTCAGTTCCTGCACAGTTTTTTGGCACTCGCCTTTTCTTAGATTGAATGTACAGCAGGTGCATTCCTGCCTCTGGGGACTTCTTCATGCCATGGAGCGTGAACTGCCAGACATGGCTATAGCAGCACTCAACCTCTAGGCTCCAGGATGCAGGTGCCCTGGCCTGATGGGAGGGGGTATTGCTCTCCCCTGGTGGGCAATCTGGGGTTGGGGCTGTGGACACAAGGAGTGTTGGTGGCTGCCAAAGAAGGTAGAACATCCCCTCCCCCCTGACATCCCAGTTTGCCTTTTTCTTACCCAGCACCGCCCTGTCCCCAGGAGCAGCAGACGCTCCTTACCTCATTCCACACCTCAGGTGGAGAAAGAACTGGCCAGTCACCCCTATGGGGTGGGTCCTCTCCTTGCCTCAGGGCTGGCTTGGAGCCTATAACGTTTGCAGGGAAGGGAGTGGAGTAGAGTCAGAAATTCTCAGCAGGAAAATCTTTTCTATTTTCATGACTTAGATCCTTGGGAGATAGGCAGTGGATTTTGGAAAAGAAGGCCCCACATGAGAATGGTGGGCAGTGGGCCGCGTGGAAAGGAGAGAAAGATCCCAGGAACTAGAATGTAAGCCCCACTAGGGCAGCGGTTTGTCTGTTTTCTTCGCTGCCGTATCCCCAGTCCTTGTCTCTGAGACAAGGACTATTACATTGGGACGTTCTCTGAGGATGTGCTGCGTTTGCTTTCAGTTAAGACCAGAAATAAAACTGCTCTTGCTCTTTGTGTTTGATTTTGGTATATTATCTCTCACCGCCATTTTACAGCCAGGAAATCATTCACCTTTCGCAGATACATGAAAAACCAGGAATGAATAGAGAAGGGCATCCCTTCTCTGCATCTCTGCCCACAACATCCTCCAGGCTGAGTGCAGGTTAAGAGTCTAGATGCTGCAAAAAAATTCCTGTGCAATATTTTGAATACTTGTAGGTATGAAAGACCCCTCAGCTCACTCTTATCCTCCCTCTTTCATTTCCGTGGAGATAAGTGAGTAAACTACAGCAAAGGATGAGTTCACATCTTCATGATCTCCTTGCCTCCCTGAAGTGGTTTTAAGCAAAGAAAGATAATGCGTCCATCTCCAGACACCAAGAACTAACTTAATTAACTGTGGAAACTAGCTCCAAATTTAAGACTGCGTAATTTGATAGTGCCTCGCTGCCTCAGTTCCTAAACACTATGTGGGAAGGAAATAATTTAGTTCCTAAAATACTTAAGGTAACATGGTAGACTGGAAGTTGACTCCCAGTGGAAATATTGATGACTTACCTGACGCGTCAGAAGAGCTCATGGCCTCCTAGCACGAAGGGAACTAGCAATCCCCCTGATAGTACTCCCCAGGCGGCCTGGAGACAGCCGTGAGTTTCCTGCCACGTTAACCTCTGCCAGTAGCCGGGCTGTTAGCCTCTGGATCTGATGAGAATGCACATTTAAAGTTGCCTTCCTGTACGGCTCTGGGGCTCTGGAGAAGTCTACGTTAGAAGAACCGAAGAAGCCCAGGCACAGCGAACAGGCTAATGTTGAGAGCCCCGGCAAACTGCATGGCTTTGAATCTATGCAATGTCTCTCTGGGGGAACAGAGAGGGCCCTGACTTGTGGAGTTGGAAGTCAGGTGGTAGTGCAGGTCCTCTTTAAGGATGAAGCCCAGCTCCCCTCTACCCTTTCTCTTAGGGAAAACGTGGGAAGAAAAGGAGTGCTCTGTGCTCTGTTCTGACGCATATCTTCACAGTCCGGCTGATGCGTGTGTAGACGCTGCACCCCTGGGAGGAGTCCTGCAGAGAGGGTGTGCATGGGAGTAGGCAGAGAACACCTGGCTATTTTGACACGTCTGCATCACAGAATCAGGCTTGTTTGTTTGCACGTTTGCCACACCTGTTTGAGAACTCTGCTGGTTCTTTGTCCAGTTGAATCAAAGAATCCCAGGATTGGGCCGGGCGTTGTTGACCAGGGACAGACCCAAGGGCTGATGCTTCTTTTGAGAATCCAGGGGTCACAACCAGCAAGAAGCCCTTTGGGCTTCCACTGCCCTGAAGAGTTGTTGGGCTCCGTGAGTGCTGCCTCTAGGTGGGGGCTGGCAGGGTGGCAGGCCTAGTAATGGTGGGAGAGAGCAAGTACTAGACACAAGTTGGGATAGGATAGGGAGGGAGGGCAGAAGATGTAAAGACATAAAGAGATCAGCCACAGCATGACAGAGTCAGAGTTCATTGAGAAAGCTGGCTGCTCCTGTAACTCAGAGACAATATCCTGCAATGTGTGCGAAACAGTATCAAAGAAGGAAAGCACGCCCTGGGATGACTTATTACACTAAGATGACAGCTTTGATATTGGAGTCCCGCAGTCCAGCCTTCAGAGCTGACATGTCTGAGACACCCTCCTTGTCCAGTTTTAGTCCAGTTTCCCTATTACATGAAGTTCTTTAAATTTTAAGTTCTTTACATTTTCTTGCAAGAAAAATTGAGCTTCCCTTTGCAATGTATTGTCTAGTCCTCTCTTTCTAACTTTGAGGCTGTCACTTTCCATAATAAATTAAAAATCAGATCCTC